GGCTAGGTGAAATCCCTCCGAAGAAACAAAAAAAAAAAGTTTAACGCTGTGAAAATTTTCACAGTAATTAGCAAAGTTTTTGAGCCTAAAAAACAAAGGGCATCCGGCTTTTTTGTAAGCGCGTGTCAGGCCCTGGGAACTGATGAAAGCAGCAGCCCTCGTGGACCCCAGAAGTAAATGATATGCCGAAAATAGTAAGCAGGGATTAGGGATGGTAGACTATTTAAATGAGAATATTATTATTTGTTACTATAGTAAAATATTTGAAGGCCAGGGAATTGTTTTATTTAAATAATTCTACCTTGAACAAGCAATAATTCGATAACTTTGATATTATTCCTTGAACAATAAATTTCGAAATACAACACTTTGATTACCTTATCTAATTTAATATACCGGCTATCTAGACTTTAACCGATATGTTTTTTCTCTAAAGCTACATCACTAGCTTTCTCTAACCAACAGCAACCCGGGCTTAATCCAATTTATTTCAAAGAACTTTGTGTGGAGAATAATTTGCATAACTTTGATATGAGCAGCCCATGTGTTTTTCGCTTTTCGGCTTCTGTTTTGAGAGAGGGAATGAATGAATGTGTGTTTGGTGTGAGTGGGTGATAATCACATCCATTTCAGGACTTGAACAATATTTTCAAGAGCCACTCAGTCAAACTGGAAATTTATCCACTTATTGCCATGGCTCTCTGGCAAGTATTACTCATTCAGTGAGGCGACACCTCTGGCCATATTTCAATTATACGAGTTTAAGGCACACCGCTTCGCTTCACAGCTTCCAACTTTCAGAATGAATAAATTGCTGCTGCGGCAACAAAAGCGGCCAGAAAGTGCTCAAATGTATGCTATGAAATTCATTTATTTACGCCTACGAACAAACAAAAAAACTGCCACAAAATATAACAAATTAGCATTGAAATGGATCCGAAACCAAAAGCGAAATGGCAGCGAATATTTCATAAAATTGGCAGGTTTTTACCGCTTAAGCTTGAGTTGAGTTGAGGACACGCGTCAGTTCGCAGGATCTGAAGCTGGTCCAGCTGGAAGCTGGAAGCTGGACCAAACCGCCCAGGGTAAACATCACAAATCAGAGAGAATGTTTATGCATGAAGCCGGAGCCACAGCACGGCAGGAGAGAATTTCATAAAAATTAAATTGTGCATTCGTGCAGATTTGTACGCTGGAATTATGACACAATATGCGACAGTAATAAATGTTGAGGCAGACAAAGGGCAGGTAGAAGAGTTCTTTTTTTTAGCACTTGCTCTGCACTTGGAGAAAGTATCGATCGCCTAAAGATGAATATAGAATTTGTATCCTTTGATGGTTTGACATAAATCAAATAAGTAGTCTAGAAGAAAAGTAGCTGACACTTTATTTATACATGTTAAAGGTTGTGAAATATAAATATAATTGTTGCAAGAGTCAAAATTAAGGGATATTTCTCGTAACTTTAATTAATACTTAATTCTCTTATACCTCTCCTATATATACCCCAGGATATTTATTAAAAGTTAATTTTCTTACTGTGTGTGCACTGTAACATGGGATTGTTAGTGGGGGGGATCTGCGTTTCCATGGCAAGCCAAAAACCAACTCGGGCAAAACAATTTTCACACGTGCAAGCTGCAAAAGGTGCAGACAAGCTCATAAATTGCCACAGCCATGATGACGACGCCTCCACCGCCGTTGATGATGATGATGATGGTGATGATGAAGGAGTTGGATTTGGGAGATGGGAGCAGGAAGCCTGACTTGGGGCGGGTCACATTGAAATCCTTAAAGAGCAGCCTTTGCCACGCCACAAACAAAGTTGTCGGTCTGCCCCTCCAATGTCTGTTTTGCGGATTCTCCTGCTCAAATGCAAATGATCAAAATAATTACATGAAGCGCACTTTTTCCGCTCCTCTCCCATCGCACAAAAGCACAAGCGAGCGCGGTTGCAACTTCAAAATGATGAAAATGAGTTTTCTTTACAAACAAAATTAAAAGTAAAAGGAAGACCGACAACGAGCAGAGCAGAGCTGAGCAGAGCAGCTCGGAGAAAATTGCACACCAAATTCAACGATGTGCAAAGTTATTTTTCACAAGTGCTTTGCAGCCCTCGTCCATGTCGCCTGCATGTGGATATGGTTGTAAGGATGAGCATGTGGCCATGTGGTTCTGTGGATTTCCGTTAACTTATGGTTAGCAGTCTCTGGCTGTGCATGTTGGTCCCCCCTTCCTTTGCCCGCATCCTTGCCGGCGCATATTCCTATTTTTATGCTGTGCAAATGACAGCAATTTTTCATAGGGCAAAGCGCTTGCAAAACTCCCACTCCCCCTCACTCGTTTTTGTTGTCCTTGCGAGGTGCCAAGTGACAATAATTTTGTCTTTCTCTGCTCGGTGGAGGGGCGGCAATCCTCTGACGGGCTTTTGTTTCGCTGTCACTGCCTAATTGCCAAGATTTTGCGCTGCTTGGTAGACCGAAAGAACCCCAGAGTCCCAAAAGGCTTCTTCCTCCCAATGCCCACAGAAAAACCTTAAATTTCGAGTTTAAGAGCAACCCTCAAGCGCAGTCGCCTCAGTTTATTACACATACGCAGTGTGGTGCAGCGAAAAAGTATTTAAATGGAGTGCAGTGTAATCTGTAATCGTAAATTGGTATCATTTGCATGCAGAGTGCAAAATAATCGAGTGAAAAATATAGTTTATATTTTAAATAAAACTATATATATTTATTAAAGGCAATAACTTTACAAGAACTTGATTTGGATTGAATAAAAGTGGTTCCATTTTAGATTACAAAAGATAGCTTGCGATTTAAATATTGCGATTTACTTTGAAAGCCAATAATAAAATCTTTGGAAAATAAATATTTCTCTAAATTACAATTTCGTTTCCCAATAACTTCCAGTGAATCCCATTTCAAAATAACTTCCAGTGCATCCCAAGAAACTTTGACTTCTGAACTTTCGACGCATTAAAAGTCATTTATAATCCTTGGAAACGATCATTGAGCTGCTTGAGTTTATGGCCACCGATTAATTCCAAAAAAAGACCTATTTACCCGCATTAAGGGTACATTACTTTGCCATAGATCGTTGAACCCCAAACTAAATGTAGCAGGCATTAAATTAAAGCAACAACTTGTGCAATATTTTTATGTCAATCATCAAAATCAGACGGCGAACAAGTCGAACGCTTAAATCGCTGGCCCGCAGCAGCTCAGCTCGGAGGCAACGACAACTACTCATAACTGTTTGGCTTGCTGTGAAAATATCAATAAAGAAAACTAATGAAGTGCGCGCTGCCTTAAGTGGCTTATTGTCACTCTGACACCCCCATACCATACACACGCACATGCAGGGAGTCCTTCTCACTCGTCAAAGGACTCCTCTCTCAATGTGTGTGTGTGTGCATATAATGCCAAAGGGCAGAAGGACGAGAGCTCAAGGATTCTATCCCGTATGAGTGTGTTAGAGTCTGTGTCGCGTCGCTTCATAAAATCCGCACTTATTACTCCTTTTATGCAACTAAATATGTACTCCCAAGTAAATAGCCAAGGGTGTGAGTGTGTGTGTGTTTGTTTATTTACTTTCGGTTAAGTGGACACTGTCGCTGGCTTTCTACTTGAAGCTGGGCACACTCGAGAAAAAGGTGGGACCATGAGTTCATGATAATAATATTTTAAAAGAGAATTCCTTAAGGTCCAGTTTCTCCAAAGTTTATTTCTGGAAGCTGGGCCACTCCGTGACCATATTCAAATCAGTTAGAATATAATTGTAATCTAAAAAATAATGAACTTAAATTCTGAATCTAAAGTTATTGCAATAAAAGAAAGGAAAAATTTCATGAGGCTGGAATTAGTCGCGAAAAAGTGTGACCATATGAACCTACTATTCATCAATATAACTTTTATTATTATTATTTGATTTAACTCTGTTAAAATATTTTCAGTCTTAAAATTTATGTTATATTTCTAAATATGATGCTATAAAATATTTCAATAAAACCAACAACCTTTGTTTTCTGTGTCCTTGTCCTTCTGCTGTTTATTTTCGGCTATTAGCAGCCAAGAAGATCCTTTAGGGTCAAGTGGTCGCTGTCCTGCGGCTCTTGTCTGCTAGCTAGCCACACAAGGACTCATACTATATATTGGCCAGTCAAGTGCTGGCAAAATATTTACGCAACGTCATTGAGCAAGTAAATGCAATTCATGGCACTCATAAATTGCAAATCGTGGCGAGAACAAAAAAGAACAACAAATAATTAAGAAAGGCAACGGGGGATACTGTGAAGCTATAATACAAGGGTCTATGATAAAGGAAAAGCTCTTTTTTTGGTTGTCTAAAAAGCTCTGGAAAATTCACTACATAGCTTTTCCGCAAAGCCAAGTTCCGTTAGTCGTTGTCTAGGAAAACCTGATTTTCCGGCAACCAAAGTAGAATGTAGATGTCGCTTCCAGTTTAAGACCAAAATCTGATCTCTTCATGAAATTAAAACCTGGATTATAGGCCAAATTACTTCCTCATTTACCAACATTACATGACCATCACCACTTCCTGCACAAACTGAGCCCATTAAAAGAAACCTCTCTGGCAGTTATTACGCTTAATTTGAAAACATTTAATTACCATTAATTATATTTTTGTATAATTACATTTTCTGTTTTATTGTTACATTTATATGTATGTATGTATGCTCGCGCAGTGCACATCATCATGTATTATGCTTAGTAAAATCACGCAAATGTTTCATTAAAAATTGATGCCATCATTTTTGTAGAGAGAGTAGAAGAGTACGACGTGATGTCTGGGGAAGTTTTTGTTTTAAATATTTTTCGCTTTTTGCAGTATCTGTTTCCGTCGCTATTGTTGCAATTAATGTGATGGGCAGTTTATTTGTTGGATTTCGCTCTCCTTCCCCATAGCAATTTTTAATTAAAATTATGAACTCGCTTAGTTGGCATTAAATAACAAATTAAATAAATTCTACATGCGATTTATATAAAAAAGTTACATTTCTGATTCTGTTTCTTTTTTTTCGTTTTGTTTTCTGCTCTTCCTCCTGGTGTATACACTTAGCAAAAATATGCATTACAAACTATTAGCAGTGTTGCCCTCGGATCGGGCGGGGAGGGGGGATCGGCGAATAAGTAGGAGTAGGCGTGGTGTACACATTAAAAACCTAAGAATATCATTCGCACTCTGACTTTTGAGAGAGAGAGAGAGGCGGGGGAGCATTAGCGATCCTTGTTAAAAGTATTTACTTCTTAGTATCTAAACTGTCCCTTCTTCCCCCTCTCGTTGTGGTAGACCCTCAGGGGTGAGTAGCTACCATTGCCGTTGCCATTCAGCGACGCTCCAGCACCATTTCCGGTGCCCTGGCCATTGCCTGCGCCATTTCCGGTTCCTGTGCCCGTGCCACTGGCTCCGCCAAAGTTCTGCGAAGCAGAGCCGGAAAGCAACTCCTCGGAATGCTGGGGTTTGGCAGTGCAGCGAGGCGCGAGGATCAGGTTGTAGACCCCGAAGTAGACCAGAGCCACGATTAGGGCCACAATGGCCAGCCATTGGTAGCAGCAGGACCAGTACTCCAGCTTGGGGTTCTTCTCATCGCGAGCCAGGCCAATAAGAGCACCGAAGCCCTTACCTGTAATGTAAATAACCAGGAAATTGGTTAGTTAATAAATACAGAAATGAAATTGATAATTTAACAAGGACTCCTACCCAATCCAAAGAAGGCCAAGACAGCGATGGCCTGTCCCGTGGCTGTAAGCTTCCTGGGCATGGCATGACGCATGTACAGAATAATCGTAATCCAGAGCAGACCAATCACCGCAGGCTCAATCACTTCCATTACGACGGTAAGCCATTGGCAATCCACATCACTCAGGGCCGTAAATCTAATGACAAAGATGGCCAGGCCACCAATGAAGATGTTCGAGTGTCCGCAATACTCAATAAACTTGTCCACATTGAAGAACAGAACCAGGATCAGGATCAGACCCGAGTAGCACACGGCATTTGCATCGGTGAAGGTCCACCTTAGGTAGCTGTGGATGCTGCTCCAGAAGGTTCCAAATAAGATGGAGATTAAGGTCAAAATGCAGATCTCGGGACTGTAGCGACGAATTGCGGACATGGGCACCACCAGCATGCCGGTCTTTGTGTGCCACCACCATTCCGGCGGACTCAAAGGCATTTGGGAGGCGCAGAGCAAGACAATCGCTCCCAGCACAAAGCACACAATGAAGATGATCAAAGCGGCCAAGGCAGCATCCTGATTGGGTTCGTTCTGGAAGAAGAACAGGTCCAGCGGCGAGAAGAGCACCACATAGCCAATGGCACCCCAGACATACTGACGGCACACTTCGCCCCTGCCCTCGGAGGTCTCACGCACGGCTATGACAATGGCGGTGTTCAGGAGGGTCAGGGCAGCCATGGGAAAGATATCGCCCAGCAGGCGGATGGTAGTGTAGCCCACAAGGGTGTCCTGGACACTGCCAGTGGTCTGGGGAAATCAGAGAAAATATAATTAATACTCCAACTTGAAAGAACCTCCAAAAAAAAACCCTCACATTGGTACATTCGCTGTCCGAGAGCACGCTCTTCTCATGATAGGGATTCACCACCTGGCATTCGATCATGGGCTTGCAGTTATCACTGTTATCCTTGACCTTCTTCAGGTCCTTCATGTACCTGGCCTGCTCAGCGGGTATGTTGCACTGGAAGCCCTCTGAAAAAGAGCAATTTTAAAGATAAAATGTAATCAAGGATCTGCAGGATCCAAACTTACCCAAGGGATACTGGCACCAGCCATCATAGTCATCATCCTTCTTCTCCTGGCTAATGGCCGAACCCATGAGCGCGTCAATTACCACGCTGGTGGTGTCCTCGGTGTAGGCATGGCAGTGCTTCACTATATCCTGACCCTCCTCATTCTTCTGGGTGAGGCAGACATGCGGTGGCTGGACATAGACCTTCTTGGGAGCGGTCTTTACCTGACGCACCGTACGATGTACCAGAGCCTCAGCACTCAGGGCCTCCACGCCAGCACTATCCGCCGGATCGGAGCTCTCCAGATCCCGACGCGTGCGCAGGCTCTCCGTCACAGCACTGGTGGCCTCATCATCGTAGTCAAACTCCGAACTCTGCTCCGTTGAAGGAGCCAGAGTCGGCTCCTCGGCCAGCCAGGCCACATACAGAGGCTCATACAGCTTGGGGTTCTGGCAACTGTAGGTGCAGCGGGTCAGGTTGATGCTGCCCTCCTTCTGCTCCCAGCGGCTGCAACTGGCATTCACGCCGCACTTCTCTTGGAACAGGAAGCCTCCAGTCTCGTCGCAGCCAAAGCTAACCAGCGGTTCGTGCGATTCCGAGCGACTGACATCCGGAATGGCGAACAGAAAGGCATAGATGAAGGCGGAGATCAGCAGGAAGACAGCCGTCAGCACACGCAGGGTGCGTCCAAAGGTGTTGGGATTCCTGGCCGCTAGCCTATCTGCCCAAGGACCTGCAATCAAAGGACCCAAAATGGACACGAAGGGCGCCAAGATGGTGATGGTACGGTATTCCGAGAAGTTGAGACCCAGCAGCAGGGGCTTGGTGGCATGAAGAACATGCAAGGCAGCCAGACCTTAAATAAATGATAAATATCAGATTTTGAACTTTAATAGTTATCTCAAAAACTCACCGCTAATGACAAAAAACACCACAAACTTGAGCGATATCAACGTCTTGTTGACCCGCGGCTTGCGTTCGGCTATGAAACCCATTTTTCCTCTATAAACTATCTATATAATCTCAGTAATTAAGCCACCTTTTCGGCGGGGTTTCGTTCTCCTAGGTTGCTTTCCTCTTCTAAGTTTCGTTGGGACTCAGTTGAACATGTTAGGCTCGATGGGTTCTGCAAAGAGATAAACAAGATAAATGATAAATATTTTTACAAGTAACACTAGAGTCTCTGTTAACCGCAAAAGTCTACCTAAAACCGCAGTTACTGCTTACTCTATAAACCGTGGCTTAAGCCGTGATAACTAACGATATACCCTAACCAAAATATTTTATATCAAACAGTGTTCTGCCCAAATTGTGGGGATATTAAAATCCAATCGAGCCATTTGATGCCACCCGTGGATAGTAAACATTCCGGAAATTATTGGAGTTATTGGGGAGATACCCCCACATATAGATATAGCTAGATATATACATATGGGTGACACAATGGGGTGTCAAAAATAAACAAGTGTCAATAGTCAATAGGCCACAGACGACATTCATCGCGCTACTCGCAACACAACAATAATTGAACACACACAGACTCAACAACAACAAACAACACACAATAGTGAAATATATATTGTGTCTGCCCTAGACATAAATTTAAATTAACTGTCAACGAAATTGTCAATGGCACATAGCTTTAATCGTCAGCGAACTATTATAAGATTTTATGATAAACGGGAGGAGCTACACAGGGTGGGTTTTAAAGATATTTTTTGAAAGCATATTGGACAAGTGACTACCTTAAAATAATATTTTATGATACTATAATAAATATAAGCTGTGCTATCTATAGAACGTATACCTTATCATGAACACAAATTCATCATTTAATCACTATAATATCTCAAGATTCCAAGATAAGAAGAGTGTTTTATAAAGTTACACTTAATGCAACCACTAGACGGGGCATTAAACCCACTCGACAAGTGAATTGCTTGATAATAACTAAACTGCAACTGTCGCAGAAGAAGCCCACTCTTTTCCCCATCTGAAATGCAATTTGCAAGATGATACTTAAAGTGAGCCGGAGATGTTCTTCTGACAATGCATCTCGGAAGAGAAAACGAAAGTGCCAGACGGCATTCATATATAAATTTTCCAGCTGCGGCAGGGAGAACTCAAAACAAAACAAGATTTTACTACAAGTAGTAGCCGAACCGGTTTACTACAAGATAGGCAAATTACATCACCCCGAGCAGAAAGCGAAACATTTGACTGACTCTCTGCCTGCGATCTGTGATCTACGCCCCCTAAAAAATACAAAATAAAATAAACCAAAGAAGGCCAACGAGGCATTAATCAGACATCTGCAAAATCTCAAGAAGAACCAGCAGTTAATTGGAGAAACTCACAGCCCTAGGTTCGATTTACATAGGATTTATGTATATATTTATATAGTCTTAAGCTCTTGGTGTTACACTGCCTTAAGGTCCCATTTATAATCCCCGGACGGCCTTGCCGAAGGTCAAGTTAACACACACAAAAAAATCATGAAGTAAACATTATATTTGGGCAGACTAATGAATCATCCCAAAATGCTTTCCCAATCTAAATTATAAATAAAAATCTGGCGTAAGAATGTATGTGGAGATTTTCTTGGGGTTATCATTTGATGCCTGCAACAAATTGCTTCGACGCTTAAAAATATAGTAAATATACACTGAAAAAATTACAATGATACATCGAAAGATTACTTTTTGAGGCGTAATTTTGTTATTAAACTTTAAGCGAAATTAATTCCAAAAAAACCTCTAAAAACCCCGAAGATTATCAATGACACGTTCGAATACCATTCATAAACTATCCCCAAAATTACCTTCTGTAACTATTTTTGTAAGGTTTTTTAGCTTAAAATTCCCCAGAATATCAATATTTTTCCGGTGTAATAAACTATATATTATTGCTGTCTTATCTCAGCATCAGCATTAGGGATTTAAACTAGGCGGGACAAAATAAAAAAAAGGTCAAACGGCTAAACAAAAGCTAAACAAACTAGCAATGCATGACGTAAGCCGGCAAACAACAAATAATCAACAACAATACGAGAGCAGCTATAAAAAATGTCGTTGCTGTCGGTTTGAGACCGAAATTCAAATTAGTAACCAACCGGCAACGAAGCTTCAGTTTCAACTTAATGACAAAACGCCTCGCACGCACACCCTAAAAACAAAACAAAAAAAATAGAGAAGAAAAACCAAAACCCAATATATAAAACAAAACCATCCGAAACCCGGAGCACCAGTGATTGCCCCACATGGGCACTATGTATGACACAGTGCGCTTATTTATGACCTAAGGTAAACTTTGCCCGGCGCTAGCCCCACGGCATAAAAAACAAAAAAAAAAAACTAAAAAATGGCCACCATTTTCCTCCATTGCGTGTCCGGATATATACAGTGTACAGATCGGAGGAGGAGGTGGAGGAAGAACAGTCTGATGGAATTGCTAGCGAAAAACCCACGGGAGCCACTGCCATTTGACAATTAACTTACTGTGCAAGCCATCAGTTCAGGCGACAAAAATTGAAATAACTTATGGAAATACCATTAAAATTTAAAATATTTAAGTCTGGAAATTTCTGCCAATAATCTCTTTAATCACTTTTATCTATGGCTGCCCTTGACGCCCACAAGTTCTAAGAAAATATTCAAAAATATAAAATATGTGTTTCAAGTTTCCCAAAAAATTAATAAATTATGCTTGGTAATTAAGTTGTTTCTGACATGTCTAGAATCACAACCAGTTACTTATTTAATAATTTCCAGCTTAGTTTTCTTAAAAATTCTAAGGCAACGCAGTCTGGGACTTAGTAAAATTTGTTTTTAAATATTTTAAATTTTAAATAAAATCCTCCCATTTATTCCCAGTGCATCCAGGTGATCAACCTCTTTGGGTACTTCCCCTATCTAGTTTCATAATCGACAGCTTTGCCGCCTGCGCAAATGTATCCGAGTTTTCTTTGGCGTTTTCGCCACACTTGGTCCGCTTACAACTTTTACGCTCGGCTGGAAATTAGTGGCTCTGCCCCTCTGCCTTTTGTTTTCGACTCCAAAATAAAAGAAAAGCCTAACAAAAAACTACAAAAAATTAAGCCCCACTGTGAGAACTCTGCGTGCATGGGCATTATTTTGTAGGGGGAACTTGATGTTGTCGCCACCGGGGCGGTAATTATGTACGAATGTACTCGAATATGTGCCCGAAAATAGAAACTTAATTACAACGAAACGACAATGGGTGCCTGGGTTATTCGCCCTGGGTGACCCTCTATTATTTATCAGTTGTTCAGTAAATCACTTTGTAAATGTCAATTAGTGATAAGGCCAAAGACAGGGACCAAAAACCAGAGACAATGAGGTAATATATTTGCCCATGCCTTATGCAAATCTCCATTTCTATTTGTTAGCATTGATTTGGCTTGGTTTGCAGCTGTTTGTTTATTTGTATTTTTTGTTTTCACAAGACTTTTTCACACCTTTATGGGCAGCTGGATACTTTGAGTATTTTTTTCGCCATGTTTACCCGCTCACCGTATCTTTATTTTGACTGCCACCGCGAATGTTTAGCAACAAAGTTGCCACCGCACTTGGAAATACATTTGAGAGTGTTTAATGGTTAATAGCAATCTTAATTTAGACAAATATATTACCCAAATTATAGTACACTTTTGGACATATTAGAAATTTATTTTCAACATTTTGGCAGACTTAAAATTTGTTTGTAGAAGTAGACAATTTTCCAAGGCATTTCTTCTTCAAAATTTCCGATGAATTTTTCTTTTAATAAAAATATTTTTTTGTGTGTTTATCTCAAACCCCAATTCCCATTGTGGGTCAATTGGTTTTTATTTATTTTTTTGTGTGTGTAGTTTTTGTTTTTTTTTTTTTGGGCTTGTGCTCAGACAGCGAGCCGCCCGCTTAATTATGCGTAACACGACGACGATGGCAACTGCAACAAATGCAGCTACATTGTGACGTTCAATGGGAAAGGAAAGCCGCAACAAAGAGCCAATGCATTTAGTTAAATTTATGAATGGCTCTGGCCACACTGTGCCGGTGAGCGAGCGGCTTAATTAACATTTAAAATGCATAAATTGTGCGACCGTTCGAACTGTGTCAGCGATTTGGCGGCTAACATGGGCGGCGAGAGCCAGACGTGGGCTCAGTGCCCCAACAAGTGCAGCGTCACTGAAGGTCTACTTTAAACCATAGAGTCCATAGTCTAGACCCTCGAAAAGGTCCAATGAAAGTGAGGGAAATTAGGGAAGATTTTATGGCATTTTCCCTGGACTGGTGCCAGCTTTTTCTTTCGGCCAAGTCAATGCACAGTTAATCGCGCGAATCGACAAAATTTTCATTTCGAACTCGCGCGAGCGCATCGGTAAACAACAAAAGCGTTTTATTTCAATTGTAAATAAAGTGGTAAAATTGCGCATAATTTTTCTGTAGCCTAACCTGGCCTTTTGACATTTAGCTTTCGGCTGGAAGGGAAACAAATAAATGGATAATGACACCAGCTGTAGTTTGCCAATAAGCGAATTAATTCTTCTTAAGCTTTAAAGGTGCGTTCTCGTGGAGATGTATGCATTATCTTCTCTGTTTATTTTGGCATTATTGCATCGATTGCAGGGGAATTATATTTAATTGACTGTGGTGTTTTGGTTGGGAAATAAATTTAATAATAAATATTTTAATAACCAATCTAGGGAGGGTTCAAGAAAGAACTTTGGCTGAATGTGAATTATTGTTTCTATACTAAATCAATTAATCCTAGGACACTATACTTGTATTATATATTTAATGTATACCTCACATTTTTTAGTACAAATATTTTCACGTTTTCTTAAAATTTAAATAAAATAAACACTAGTAATTAAAGTTGGCTTGACGTCTCAACATATTCTCCTCATATCCATCGACTTTTGGCATTTTTTTTCGATTGTATCATAAATTTGTACGCTTAATTGGGGGCTCAGCAATTGTTTACAATTGTGGGCACGTAGTAGCGCGGTTCTGGTTTATTTTCCTTTATTACATTTGCATTGGAACGACCTACACGGACAGACGACCCACACACAAACACAAACACACACTCCAAAATACTATTGATGAACGATCGAGTAAA